TAGTTCATGAGCGTGTGCTTCATGAATTTCAGCCTTGCCTTTAGGTTTTTCCCTCTGGAATTTCTCACCTTCTAGCAGGTATATAAGCCCAAAGTTTGATCTCTTTTTCTCATAGCTACCCTTTTTGAAGTATTTCCTCGGTACAAAGTAGTTCTTAGTCTTCATTCCATAACAGTAAAATGCAGCTGGTTTATTCCAAAGGCAGTGTTAAGTTTCCAGTTCAGCCAGATGAGATGAATCCGTATCAGATGAAGGAATGTATTTCTGGGACTCCTTCCCTCTTCTTGATAAGTTTAAAATACAAATTTTGTTTACAAAAATTAGAAAAAGATGAACAAATCCTCTTCTAGTTTTTACTGCACACGTGTGCTGTTTGGACAAGTGTGTAAACGTTTTATGGATTGATCAATCTTCTGTTTAGCAAAGAACAGTAAAGGTCACATAGTATTCAATCTATAGTAGTTACTTTCTTGATAATGTCAAAGGACAAGCTTTTAGAAGGGTTGAAATAGTGACTGTGCTATTGTAGCTGTATCTAAGCTATTTTTGATAAAAAGAATTGGAGATTCATAGAAGGGAAACCATATGGGAACATAAATCCAACCCTTGATAATTGCACCTACCTGAACTGTCTTGAATATGGTATCCTTTGAATGAAGTGGCTGTTATTGAAGTATTAAACTATTTTATTAACAACAGAACTATTATTAATAAACAACTGTAAAAAAGTTAAATGTTAAGCATACTGCACAAACTTGTATTTGATCATTTGCTTTAAACCATTATTTACTATAGGGCTGTTACATCTCTAATAATAATATTTCTTATCAAAGAAACCTAAATATAGCTTTTGGATGGATGCTTTGAGTAGATAGTATTTAATGGGCAAACCAGATCACTAAATCTGCAGCCTATGAAAACATGTGTGGTAACTAGCTGTTTTAAATCAATTTTTTTTTTTTTTTTTTGATCCTGGACTTTTTAGAGGGAAGGGTTTTACTTTCCAGTATGATCAACAGATTGTCTCTCTTAATACCATAATCTCCTGCAAGAGCACTGGAAGGGTCTTATCTGAATCTAGTTCAAAGACCACTATTAGTTCCATTGTGGATGTTGTTGTGCTGTGTGTGTTTGTGTTCTTATCTTCTCCTTATGGTATCCCAGTTTTTCTGAGCTGTAGTTGTGGGGCATTTGTAGATTTAGTGTAAACGAGGAAATGTACAAAATATTCCACCCCTTAGCTTGAAAATGAGTTGAGACTCCAACTTATGAATTTGTTTAAAGGAAATGAATTATAATAGCTCATAATAAAATTACTTTTTCATAATACTTTTACATGTTCTGCATGTTCTTTGGTGGTTTCAGAACAGTAGATCTTAAGACTAAGGTGTTTCTTTGGTCGTCCTTTTCCAGATATTGGGTAATCTTGATTTTCAGTCATTTGTTGGAATTGCAGCCAACAAAAATAAAATAATGTAGGCACATCAGAAGCTTGACATGTGCTGTTGCTTCAAAGAAAGACACTGTTTTTATTCATTATGTTATGCCACTTAAAATGCAAAGGCTGGAAGTTTTCCAAAACTTAAGTTTCCTACCATCAATGCCCCGTTTTGAGATGGAGAAAGAAATGCTACCATCATGTACTATGGGTAAATAGGGAAACTCAAATTATGTTTGTGTGTTCATAAGGAAACATGTTTGAGAATAATAGGTTATTTTTTAAATGTGCTGTCAGTTTTTATTTTAATTTTTTTGAAATCCACATTATTGAGATACCAGCATTGCCTTAAAGCCCTGTCAAATATTCTGAAGTTTTTCATAATTGTAAAACAGAAGAAAAAAGTGCACCTGTTTCTAAAGTGTAGTCTGAAGTTTTATCAGATGGAAGAAAATTTAGGGGTCCATAGAAAGTGAACATGTGATATAAAATTTGTGTTTCCTCTGAGTTAAGTACGTTGCTTGTATGATAAGATTACTGAACATCTTAATGCAACTCAATTATGGATGTAGTGAGTATGAACTAGTATAGAGAAGCAAGCCTGTTAGTGTAACTCGGGGAGTGTGATTGATGGGTTTACTTACCTGAGTGACTTAATATTATGTTTGCAGAGATACTTGCAAAATATAAAAAATTAGGGAATTCTTTTCTCACTGGTATCCCCATGGGTATGTTGCATATATTGCATTTTATTGCCTACATTATATATTTGATGTCTTGAACATATTTTTGTTACTGAATTGTTGTCAAAGATGATCAGTAATAGAAGAAGTGTCCCTACTGACATCTTAAAAATTGATTTTGTGTGAGAATTCTAGCTTGTTCAATTGTACTCTCAAAATACTTAAAATCCTGATGAATGAGTGACTCTGGTTTTGCTGCCACAGTGATCCTTTGTGTCATATTCCCCATGTTTTTGGAAGAGTCATATTTTTTACTTAGCAGAATTTCATAGTCAGAATTTATTGGCACAAAAATCTAAATTTTATTTTGCTAGAATATAGTTTATTTTACTTTTGTATGTCCCAGAATTTTGGGAGTATACTTTAATTTGATCAAAACAAAAGCATAACCACTTTTTCATTAGAAATAAAGAAAAAAACCCACCATCCACGGCCCATAGGGCACCTAGAAACTACATGTTTCATCATTTTGTGCTATGTAAATAGTACATTTCTATGGCATGCCAGATTCTTTGTGGTTTTTTTTTCTCTCTAATGGGGAGATTAAACATAGAATTTCTAAATAATTGCAACAAATGGTTTTCAGAGTATCTACAGATCATCTCAGATTTTTAAGAAACTAATTTTAAAGAAGTCTGTTCATAATAAAAGTCTAAAAGTCTCAGTCTGTGGGACTTTTGCAATGTATAATGATTGTTTAAGAGCTCCTTGTACAGTAAATCTTAGGGTTTTTGTTTCTGCTTTTCAGTGTTTACTTTTTCCCTATGGAAACTCCAGGATACTGTATCTTCTGCAACTGGCAAGAGCAATTTGTCTCTAACTTCGGGGACTGAAAAGGGAAGTCACTACTGAATTTGATTCCTATTTAGTATTTGGTATGCAGCTATTTTTAACATAGTTTCAAAAATGCTTGTGAATCTTTGCAGTACTATAAATTTTTTACAAAATAATATATTTAGCTTTGTTTATAGTTCTGTTAACTCTAGTCATTCTGTTGTGGTCTAAGAATTCCACAACTTAATTACATTCCTCAGGAAATGAGAATCTTATACTTGCAATGAGGTTAAACAAAAAGAACTAAATCATCACATTCATCAACAACTTCTTTTACCTCACACAAATCATAGAATTCCAAAACCTTAAGAAAGCTTGTTGTACAACTACATTTGAGCATGAAGGAATGGGTTTAGTTTGGTTGAGTTTTTTTAAGTAGCACTGACAGAGGCTGTTTGGTTTAAGTTCAGACAAAGTTTGTAGGGAGCTGGTGACACCAGTTGGAAAGAGTTGAAGGAAAAAGTCAAGATTGTTAGATGTGCAAGTCATATCCCAACTGTAAAACATAAAATACTGCATATTTTAATGGATTATACACCTACACTTTATGTGGTTCTTAGAGGTTTGGAAAGTGGTTATATGTTGTCAGCTACTTTCTGTCTTTACTCTCAACTAATTGCTCACTCTAGTAATTATTTAAAAATCCACATTTGTAAACTGTTAGTAGCTTACAGTGGCTGCTCACTTTCTTTTTGTTTCTTTAGTGTAACCAATCTAATGTAAAACTTGGAAATACCTCCTTACTTTTGCCTTGAATGATTTCATCCACCTGCCCTTCAGTCTTCATGTTAGAAATTCAGGTATAGCCTTTTCTGAAAGGATTTTGAAACAGCTGAGCTTGTAGGATTCTAATGTTAGAAGTACTAAGAGGGAATTCTCATGCATTTAAAATTCTTGCATCAGGGAAATTACTAGAGAGCTTCTTGTTAATGGTGTATGGCTTTTGACTCTGAAATAGAAAAAAATGTATGTATTGAAGAAACTGCCATGATGGGATATGAGGTGAGGTTGAGCATTGTACTTGAACCAAAAGATACAAAGCCAGTAATAAACCTGGGCTTATTTTTATTCTTCTGCTGCTTTAGTTTTGTTTGCAAGATGGACCACACAGTACAAAGTGCAGAGAGTATGGATGACTTCTTGTAGTAACATGGTTACCTACCAACTCCTCCTTTAGATGGGGATTTGTTCCTGTGAGTCATGATGGCTTTTTTGCATATACTTTTGGTATTATTTTGAATTCTGTATTCCTGCCAGACAGTTCTGAGGCAGGTGACTGTGAGAAACAAAACCCTGTGTGATCTAGGAGGTGTGGATTGTGCAACAGTCTGCCTTGCTTGCATCGTGAAGTTTCCATTTATGAAGGTGATAGTTGAGTAAAGGTGATGTTAAGGATCATATATCACTTTTCTACATAATTGAAATTTTTTCATGCCTAATTCTCTTCTGATATTATGTGTGTAATGAAGTCATTCTTCAGAGGAGAGATAATTTGATTTAGGATACCTGAAGGCATCTGGTCAGACTGAGGCTTTGTTTTCACAATTAAAAGAGAAAAATAGTAGTGGGAGTGGCATGGGTTTGGATTTTTTTAACCATGGTAACTGCGTGGGTAGCGCTGGCAAAACAGTGAAGACAAGGTATTTTTGTTTTGCTGAGGTAAACTTGCTGAGACAAGACCCGGATCTTTGAGGCTGACCTTGTTAGTTTCCCTAGAGGTAAAAATTTTTCTACCTTACTCAGCAGTGACAAACAAACTTGGAAACTTGAGGCTGTAAAACCAGCTTGGAACTAATCTAAAATACAATATTGTTAACCTTGCCTGTGTCTTCATTTCTGTTTATGAGCTGTTATTCTGCAGTGTGAAACAAAGTTACATGGGTGTTGTCTAGTAATTTTTAATCTATTTTTGCCTTTCTTTTAGATCTGTTTTTAATTAATGTGCATACATGTGGGATTTTTGATTATGCTGGATATAATGTCATCTCTGAAAGCAGGCTAGCATAAGGTTTTACAAGACTTAACTGATGGAGAGGCCTGCTTTGAATTTGACTTTGATCAGAGGTGAAGGAATTTGGAGAGTTCATAAAGGTACTGAATGCGTCTTTCATGTTCCTCAGTCTAAGTCTTGTTAAAAAATGGAGTTTTCTTGAGTGAAATGGATGCAGCTGAATAATCAGTCTTCTCCAAGGAAATGTTTTTGTTTGTTTTTTTTCCCCTACAAAAAAGCATGTTTGCTCTGTAATTTCTCTGCATAGCTGCTAAGGAACATTACAAATGAATGTTGATATATTCAAAGACTCATATTGTTGAGTATCAGGGAAGAACTACCCAGATTGTGTCATTTAAAAATGCACAAAAAGCAATTTATTGATTTATTAATGTGAAGTAATTGGCAATCAGGGAACTGTATGCTTAGGACTGATATCAGGAATAGAATAGATTAACCAGAATGTTGGAACATTAAGAAGTGTACGAAACATCTACAAATAGCTAAACATAATCATGAAAAGTTCTAATCCTCCTCTTCCCTCACACAGTTATTGGCACACAAGCTCCATGGACAGTGTGGGTTACAAGCAATGCTTGCTCTTCCACGACTGTGAGTTCACCTAACTGCACACACCTCTTCCTGGAAATATGGATGTTCCAGTTTTTATACCAGAGCTGCTCCCTACAATCTGCTAATCTGCAGGCTAGGGGTAAAGTTCCCCCCCGCCAAGTCACATAGCCCGCCTGAGCCATGGATCCCCTCCCAACTGTCACTGTGCTAGTTGAAGTGGGGCTGCCTCTGTCTTTGCTGGGGAGGCTGCTTCTCAAGGCATGGAGGAGGTGGTGATGCTGGTGGAGGGATTTCTCCATTGTTCAGGCTTTGGTGATTGCTCTGGTTGCCATTATGAGGTTCCTTCCTCCATTATTAATGAAGCATGAATGTTTGTCTTTCTTTTCAAGCTGACTCTTCCTTTGTTTCAAAAGACTCTTTGTAATTTCCCAGTTATTGTTCAATCATTTTCAGAGCTGTCTTTTTAGCATTACCACTTTTTTGACAGAATCTCAGTTTTGGGTGTTCCAGTTGCATGCCGTTTTACCCTTATGTTTCTGGTTTTTCAAGTGTTGTCATCCAGGCCATTTGCTAAGGATGGGCCATATGGGTACCCTCCCATTGATATTAACCTTAACATAATTTTATCTGTGTGGAACATTAAGTTATTATATTATCAATTTATAAGATAATTAGTATTGCATCTTATTTAGCCTTCTGTGCTTAAGTGATTATTTTGTTTTAAATAGTAAATTTTTGGTGCATGCTTAGTAGTTCCTTGTGTATATCTAACAATTTAACTCTGTCGAAAGCGTTATGTACAGGGGAAGAAGGTTATTTTGTAATTTTACCTGTCTGAAGCCAGTTATAGCTGTGGTAATTGAACCACACTCAGTAGTTTTCTAGCTGCAGTTAGGAGTAACATCTTCATCTGCAGTTCTGTTGTGAGACCTTATTTGTTAGCATGTTAAGTATGTTGTCCTCTCAGGTACTGTATTTCAAGTTGTTAGTGGATAGCGAGGGTCTCTCTTCCTGTGGTTATTTTATACCCAGGTTTTTCAACAATGTAAAATCTGGGGCATGGCTCTGGCTTTTTTTAAAATGGTTTAGTCCACTTTACGTCTCCACAAATACTTTTATAGCAAACTGATTTGAGAACCTCTTAATTAACCACACAGCTTTTGTGTCCTCCTTTTGACCTTGTAGTTTGGGAATGAATTACCAAAGTAATCCACTGGGGTTTTTCTTCCCCTATGCTTTATTATGCAAAGTGTTCATACACGCTGAGTTAAAGACAGATTTCTGTGATCTGAAAGCCTCTTGGACAGCAATTTATATTGTAATTGCTTATATCTGTAGGCAGACTTTTTTTTTTTCAAAGCACAATATATCCTTTTTTAGTAATCTTAAGCTTTGAAATCACTGAAAGTAGAATTTGGTCTGCTAAAGTACCTAGGCCCAGATCTTCAACTGTTTTGGCATTGATTAAAATCAGTAACCTAAGTGCCTATCTGTTTAACAAATTTTCAGGACTTAACAAATTTTCACAAACTTTTGAATCTGCTTTGTTGTCATGATAATTGAATAAATAAAACTTAAAAAAAGTAAAAAAAAAATTTCTATCTTTAATAGATTTTTTTTCCTATCCTTCAGAGGCAACGTGTTTGTAGCCTGTAAGTTTGCTTGGGTTTGACCACTGTATGTATTGTTTCGTGCTGTTGTGCCCAGAGACGAGGGTATTTTGGGTTGGTTGAGGAAAGTGTTTGTATTTGGCACCTAGGTTGCTTCTTGACTACTGCGTTGATTTTGATTAGTATAAGAGAAATACTGCTGGAGTGAGTCTTGAGGGGTAGTGAGCTTAAGTCCATTATGTATGAGGAGAAGGTGGGAGAGCACGTTCTCTACAGGCTTCACAAGGGAAGGCTGTGGTGTGGGATCTTACTGCTGTCCACATCTACTTAATGGTGGGAAGCAGAGACAGGCACTTTCAGAGGTTTACAGTGAGGGGTCAAGAGGCGCATGGAGTTGTAAGGAGAAATTCCGGTGGCTGTGAGGGTAGTCAGTCATTGGAGCAGGTAGCCCAGCAATGCTACAATACCTCTGTCCTTGGAGATGCTCATAATGCTTTAGCTCAGGACCCTGTACAATATGATGTAGTTGGCCTTACTTTAACCTGGGGGTTGGACCAGGTGACTCAAGAGGTTCTTTCCAATCTAAATCAGTCACTGATTTTATGCAACATATGTATGTGATAGATACGAAATCCTGTCTTTGTTTAATGTTATGAAATGTTTGTAAGTGGGTTTGAAACAGTTGCATTTCACCTAAGTGCATAATTTATTTCTATAAAACATTTTATTCATACTGTCTTTATATGTGATATACTTTCTTTTTACGTCTCTTAGGCAACACAGTGTTTTGTGAGTAAAAAGACAATTGACATCTGGTTTGGAGTTATTTTTTCCAGATTGATGAAGTTGCATGCCAGATAGGCTTAGTTTTACTCTGGTAAGCATTTTCCTCTGTTGATCTGCAATAAAGTTGTTATGTATAAAAATAAATATTTTAGATACATGCTAGGTAGCATTTTACCTGAAAATAGATTTGGCAACAATTGAGTTTAAATTATTTCAAACTTTGTTAGCATATGACCTTTTGAAAATTGTTCCTGATTTTAATGCTTTAGATTTTTACCAACCATTTCTCTTGAAAAGCTTTACAAAAATTCATCATCCTTCATAGGGCTGTTGTGAGGTTTACATTTTTGTCACTTGTTGCTGAAAAAATTTCTGCAGAGGATTGATTGACTTTGCCTAGAATTACCAGGCAAGTAGTCTTCTGTCAAACCAATTTACTCTATCTAGGTTATGATTCCCTCGGACAGAAGAGCATCGTATGACTAAATTATCATAAAGTTTGAGCCAAAGGAGGAAGAAAATGGCAATAGTTATGCTTGAGTGCTCTCATGTTTGCAGAATGGTGAATATATGTACTAATGTGGTTGCAGTGAAATACAGTCAGTGAGAGTCAAAGCTCAGATGTAGTGAAATCAGTGCGCCTTTCCTTCTTCATGGGAGCTCAGATTTCATCTGTTAAATTCTCTAGTAGCATTGTGCTTGAAAACCATTGGCCCCTTAAGTTAGAGCCAGGTTCATCATCTTCATAGATGCAGTTGGTGGATTAATTGAATAAAATGTGTTTTGCTTTATCACATGTAATTTAAGGAGAGTTTTGGAGAAAGCACCTCAATAGCTCAGCTAGAGATTCAAGCAATATAAGTGCTTTTTTTTTTTTTGCTCAACTGCAGTCCTGTGCTGGATTCCCACAAATCTGGGAATTTTAGCATATGACTTCATATATTGTCAGATGTTTTGAAAAGACATCCTGTCAGGAAGGTGTCTTATATAGCACTTTGTTACCTGCCCTTCATTATCTGGTGGAAACAATAATTCTAACTGGGATCTGCCATCTTTGTGAAGAAAGGCAGGTGGGTCACATTTTGTTCTTTTGGTATGGTTTTAGTTGTCTGCTTGTAAATCCAGTACTGTGTAACTTCGTGACATTCTGAGTGAAACACTGGATGATGATGATTATTTATTACTGTAGAACATCGTTCATGTAGAATTTAGTAAGGTGTACTAGAGAACTGTGCCTGTGAACTTCTGTATGTTACACATCTGCTCTGTGTAGTGGTCTACCTTTAGATTTAAGAACTTTTCAGAGAAGAGCTAATTTGGTCTGTGTAACATGTTAGTTATTCATATAAAGTTAACAATTCTTCTGTATGTGGATTTTTTTTTTTTTTGATACTGACGTGCTCCTAAAACAATTCTGTTTATTATCTTATTAAATGAGTATATTGCAGGGATATAAAGAAACTGGTTTTCCAATATATTTTAGGAGACTGCATATGTTACCTTCAAACCAAAAGCTGTTATATTGACAGCGTGGCTGCAGCCATTTTCCATTAGAAGTCCTATCTCTTTCCATTTATCTGTCATCTTAAAATATCAAGCTGTCACACATATAAAACTTACTGTGTTAAAATTCTTGAAGTATATTAAGGCATATTAAATGTCTACTTTAGCCTTAAAATAATTTTGACATTGAATTTTATAATTCTGTATACCAGGTTTGCTGTGCAGATGGCATGGTGAAATGGCAAAAATACAATTTGTGCACTGAAATGGCAGGTAGTAGCTTTTTGCTTTCTGTTGTTGTGTGACTAAGGGACTATGGTAAATCAGTGAACTTTAGTCAGTAATCATAATGTATTACTGTCAATTGACAGTTTTAACAAAGCCGTTGCCCTGAATTTTTGCAGACTTTAACTTCATATGAGCTTTTTATATCATGATGAAGGAGAAGAGCTTGTAGCAGTAGCTGTTGCTTAGCCCAGTAACCTGTCTCAGTAGCCCACAGTATGTGCCTAGGGAAGAGTACCACGTAGTCTAATGTGTGTTCTTACTTCCCCAGAACACATGGCCCATTTTCAAAATTTTGCACCTGAGGGACTTCGTGAGGCAGAAGTGTTTACTTTGTTTTTAAA